TATATATGTACACTATATATCTTTTTGATAGTGAAGAAAGTGCAGGTTTAAATTGTAAGCTATTAAACTTGTCAACCCCAATTTGTTGAAACTGGTTGTATTTATTTTGTTCTGCAGTACTGTTATAAACCATCAATATGCTTGAATTTGAAAATAAATAAATGAAAAGAAAAGAATGCAGTAAGAGAAAAAATAGAAGCTAGAAATCATAATTTAAATTTAAATAAATAAAAAATAACACCAAATTATCATGCAACATTTGTATCTATGAACATCATGCCACAATGATTTTTTATTAAAATGAATAAGGACAATTATTTTCAATGTTGTTGCCAAGAAAAGTTTATATTTTTATGGTTTTGCCTTTTTGAACACAACACGAAAACTGCATTTTGACAAAATGAGTGTTGAGATGTTTCTGTTTGCTTCCCCATCCATTTCTTGTTTTCATAAATCTATCTTTGCTCCAGTAAACATTAGAAATGACTGTGTGTGTGCATATATATATATATATATATATATATATATATATATATATATATATATATATGCTCGTGTGTGTGTTCCGAGTGCAGTTAAAAAGGATTTCATTATGTTCATACATTTCAACTTTTAAGTATGACACGGTCTATTAAAATTGAACTCTAATAAAAGCCTGAAAAATAAAAGATGCAATAGCAGTAAAACAGAATGTGAGAAAGATAATTTGAAAATATTTTAGTTCTTATTTTAGGCATTTTTTTTAACAAACTAAGTGATAAAAAATAACACAAGGTAAGCTCAAATCAAAATACAGACAAATAAGTAACTAAATAAACAATCATAAGAGTTAAAAAAAAAAAACAAAAAAAACAACAAGATGGAAGGTGGAGGCAAAAATGTAATGCAAAATACATATCTAAAAAACACTTTCAATAACAGGAAAACAAATGTTTTGTCCAGTCTATTTTTTTTCATTTAATCATTCCTTTTATGCTCACATCCAAAGGAAAATGAACAAACAGTAAATATTTGACATACTATCATTCATAGAAAACTGGATAAGGATGCCGAAAAAAATAAAATAAGTAAAATAAAAATCACAATTTTTTTTCTTAATATTTGGTAAAGATCATCACTCATTCCAGCTTCAGTAAAAAAAAAAAAAAAAACAAAAAACAAAACAAAAATAAAACACACACAGAGACACGTATATATTGGGGTGGTAGTATATGTGACAGATATATAATCAAAGTAAACTCTTTATACAATTGTCAGTCCTAATATTTACCTGTACATTTTATTATCATTTTGTGCATATATACACATGTGATCAAAGATAAAAAAAAAAAAAAAAAAATCAGTACATTAAAGTCCCTTTACTGTAAACCAAGTTGTGCTGACATACTAACAATTAAATAGGATGAATAAATTCTGTAGTGATACTAATGTAAGTAATAAAATATTTTACTCTTTCGTCTTCCAATTTTCTTCTATTTTTCCATCACCGTTCAGTACTATAATTAAATCAAAATACATAATACTGAGACACAATGATAATATGAGTAGTTTCCTTATAAGGAAACATTTGCCATTCATTGACCAAGTAGCTAGTACTACTCACAGATAAAATTTCTAAAATTTCTTTCAAAACAAATTCTTCAGGGAAACAGGTTTCTCAAGTCCACTGTTAATGCTCTTTCCAGAACTGATGAAGGTTTCCTTCCTAATCTTTTATATGAAGTGATGTGGAATATCATGTCATTGTTTTCTCTTTGAGTTACATGTGATATCCATTTTAGCTGTTGAAAGTCCTCAAGTGATGTGGTTTCTGTTATTTGGTACAGGTCTTTGTGATTTTGTAGTGTCAGTCTACAAGGAATACAAGGTGCTGTAAAGATCAGATGTGCAGGTAGTGTAATAGACAATAGCTCAGAACTTTTAATCAGAAAGCCAAGTTTCAATTCCCATTGGGTTTGTTATATTCACTTACATGCAAATACCCTATCCACTTCTTCATTTTCTGTCGTTGAAAGTCCTCAAGTGATATGGCTTCTCTGATCTGGTACAGTTCTTTATTATTTTGTAGTGCCAGTCCACAGGGTTCAAAGAAGGATGATCCTTTTCCAAGACCCAGAGGTTTCATTCACTGACAGACATTTTTAAAAATTAACATTACGAAACGGTTGTATACAACTGATAGTTTAGATATTTCTGAACATGTTTGCTGCAATACATGACATCAATATGAAAGCCTTGAACTGACAAGGCTACATTTTTTTTTTAAATCACATCAACTTTGTTATAAAAAAGGGAGTGAAAAGGAATAATCTATATCTAACATTAAAAGCTAATTTCTGGTTACAGTGAGATGGCTGGTAGGGCTTAATGTACAAGGATTCCAAAATTTTCAAGTGATAATGGAATTAGCTTTTCTCAGTACAGAGAAGATGTCCGAGCTATAAAACTGCTGATTTTTAATCAAATGTTCAACTATTGCTGAATCCTATACATTAATGCACATATGGAAATTGTTCATCTTTCAACTGGTTTAGCTGTTTTTAATGGTTATATTTTGGTATTAGCATTTTACAGTAATAATAATTTTTTTACTCCTCTTTTTGTTATGAATTGATTCTGTTTTGTTATAAATTGCTTTTAATATGTCTGCTTTAATTGCTCTAATTTACAAAGTAATTGATCCCCTTTTCCAAGAAAGATCAAGAAATTTGACCTTTTTTTTTTTTTTAAATATCACTGCAAAGTGAATGAGAGTTGATAGGTAATTTTTTTTTGAAACTGTCAAAAAAGAAGGGAGATGTAGGTGAGAGATGTGGGAGAAAAGGTTGAAATTGATGATGTCAAATAATTTCTAAGAAAAATACCAATATATATAATAAGTGTATTTTGTTTGTCTTTATATCTGGTCACTGACAATTGTTTCTTTTTTCTTCATTTTCAGTGCACAATATACAGACTGATGGCAAGATGTGTAGAAACAAATTTTTGATAAAAAAAAAAAATTATTACAAAATTTAATGCTAAGTCATCAATTTTTTACCACCTTACAATTAGAAATATTTGTTAGTATAGGGAATAATTAAAGCACAGTCAGTAAGAAGAGGTAATCTAAATGGACAATGATAAGCAAAGAAACCGTGCATACTTACAATGGGTTTAGATACAGACACGCTTTTAATGTTAGGATGGATCCATAACATTGAATTATTAAGTAAAAAAAAACGTTTTTTTTCTTTCTATTTTTGACATTAAGTTTATTGAACAACATATTTAACATTTTGTTCACTATATTCTGTCATCTTCCAACAAATAGAATTCTCCTCTCAAAAAATATATATTTTTTTTTTTTTTTTGATAAGAACTGCTCTTGATATTTTCTGCAGTCTTCCTGAGAATTTGAATTATTTTACATTAAATGAATTCTATATAAACCAAAATAAAAAGTAATTTGAAAGTGCAATGTGCTGTTAGTGTAATGGTTATCAACAAAGAAAATGTAATCAATGAGCAGAGTTCAAATTCCATTGAGGAATTGGACAGCTCAGTTAAACTCCAGTCGAATCCATTACATTCACTTACATGCTAATACCTTTGAGAAAGTTATGAATTCTCATCTTCTCCCCCCAGCTATGGATAAATAGCAGGACAGACTGGGTTCTATAGCTTTTTGGATGGCAAGTGGTCTACTGCAGAAAGAAATGGCAACCTACTGCAGGAAAAAATCTGCCTTGTCAGTCATGTATCAAAAGTTACATGATCACCTAAGCATGTATCACGCAAAGTACATAACTGACTGACTGATGAATGGACAGACAAACAGAAGTCACAGAATTTTATAGATTTTCATTGATAATTTCAGTTTATTGCTTAATTTATTAATGAACCTCTTTGATGAGAGTTGATCAAAAAGCAGGCCACTAGAGAAGAATTGTAACACCTTACTTTTATTCTCAACATGTTTCCGCCATTTTGTGACATCCTTATTTTTCATACAACCAAGAAATTATTTAGCTGTTATCGAGATTATATATATATCTCCATACAAAAGAAAGTAAATCTTTGAAGGCAATCAAAATCACTTGAGTTATTTGAACCTTGCTCTATGGTCATTAACTCATTAAAAGCAGGAAGAATCAAAATTCTGCTGCAAGTTTCACATGTCTACAGTTGGAAGTGAGTACCTGAATGCCCCCATATCTCAATATACATCATTAACAGTCATCATATGATCAACTAAAGATGCTAGAAACCATATCACATGGTACCATGGGGGTCAAAGGTAATATATTCTGTTATTATACTTAACTTTTATCTATCAACAGAATTAGCTTGAAGTTTTTTTTAAGTGCAACATTTTTTAAACATGTAAATGATAAATGCAAAATATTTCATAACAAGTAAACAATATCATAAAGTAAAGCATATCTTTGATATAATTTATATTTTATTTAGAAAATGTTTTGAAATTTTGACAGAATTAAAATAATTAAAATTTAAGAGATAATTCTGTAGCTTTTAACGATATTTGTAAAAAAAAATAAATAAATAAAAAATATATTTATTTAAAGAGTGTAACTTACAGTAAGAACTTATTTGTGTGCTAATGAGAACATAACATTAAGAATTCTTGCTGCACATGCTAATCTTCAAGCCAAAAATGTTCCTCAATGAATGAACAATTTTATTCAGTGATCTAATACTTTTGACATACTTTTAAATTGATTCCATTCACATAAAAAATAATGTTATCCTCTGGGAAGTAGAAAGTCTGGTGATTATTATGCTATAATAAACTTGAAACAAAATATTCACTAGCATAGTACCCATAAAAAATAACAGGTTTATCTACACATGGTTCAGCACTTCTACCTAACTTCAGAGTATCTGTGCACTCTGCTTAGGATGAAAATGTCATCCTTCTGCATTTCTGTCCAGGATCTGTGTAATATCTGTGCAATGTTATACACATACACACAATATAGCCATCAAGTGCCTCTCTGTTAATTTCCACAGGAGAGAATGAAGGAAAGCAGGAGAGAATGAAGGAAAGCAGGAGAGAATGAAGGAAAGCAGGAGAGAATGAAGGAAAGCAGGAGAGAATGAAGGAAAGCAGGAGAGAATGAAGGAAAGCAGGAGAGAATGAAGGAAAGCAGGAGAGAATGAAGGGAAAGCAGGAGAGAATGAAGGAAAGCAGGAGAGAATGAAGGAAAGCAGGAGAGAATGAAGGAAAGCAGGAGAGAATGAAGGAAAGCAGGAGAGAATGAAGGAAAGCAGGAGAGAATGAAGGAAAGCAGGAGAGAATGAAGGAAAGCAGGAGAATGAAGGAAAGCAGGAGAGAATGAAGGAAAGCAGGAGAGAATGAAGGAAAGCAGGAGAGAATGAAGGAAAGCAGGAGAGAATGAAGGAAAGCAGGAGAGAATGAAGGAAAGCAGGAGAGAAAGATTAAGTAAGAAAGCTAAAGTTAAATGAAAAGTGGCTGAAAGGAACATAAATGAAAGAAATACAATTCTTTATCACTCCTTTAGTTACTTGGATTTTTTTAAAGTAGGTGAAATTAATATCTAAGAAAGTAGTTAGGTACTATTGCATTACTACATTGATCTGTGCTAACAAGTGCCTTTTTTATACAGAGATTACTAAAGCAACTTAATCTAAAAACATTTAACATTTCATAACATTGATTCTCTTCTTGAAATCTTCATGCTACATGAAAATCATATATCATTAGTGGATAAAATGATGCTCTTTACATTATTTACATTTGGACTAATGTCCGCATCTTTGGTGTTATCACAGCTTTTTAGCTATCTAGCCTTCTTCAATTATGCCGATCTGGGTAAGCCTTAAGGAATTTTGAACCAAACTCTTTATATAATCTAAAAGATTGATTGTTCCCATTCTGCTGTCCATGTCTAGAGCTATCAAGAAATTGGCATGCTGAGTTTGAATTCTACTAGAGTTTGTTGCATTAACTTTCATTTAAAAACCCTTGGGAAAGGTATCGTTTTCTCCTCACAGATATGGATTAAAATGTAGGGGGGAAGATTGACCTCTTGATCCATAGTTGACAACTAGTCTAGAAGAAGGAAGAACTGAATTCAAAACTGTGCATAGATCTGGGAAAGCTGCTACTATGCAACTATTGAAAGGGTCATGAAGTTCAGGAAAAGATGATGATTCTGAATGTGGCCGATCTGATAGATGAGAAATAATTTCTTACATTGAAAATATGCACTGAAGAATATTGTCCATGTTAATAATAATGAAGATACAAATAGATCCTGCCTTGTTGAATTATTTCTCCATTTAATAAAAACAACAACATAAGTGTTGGCTGATGTTCAATGCAAGCAAGGGCCAACATAATGACCCTCATCTTTTGGATAGATCAAACAGTTTTAATTTCCGCTCACACACACACACACACACACACACACACACACACACAAATATAGAGTGGAAACTATGGTTTCAGCTAAATATAAATAAAAAGCCGCTCTTGGAAAAATAAAAATCAGAACAGTTGAAAGCACTTGGGGAGGAAGAAAGCTTCTGATAGCTCATCAAATTGAGGAAACAAATACTTGAAAGAACGATAGGTAAATGAGAAGAGAAAAATGAAAATTGTCTTCAAACTTTTGCAAGATAGATATCAGAAAAAAATGTTTCAAAATGAGGAAATTTAAAACTTCAACAAGGAGAGCGAAAGGATATAAAAAGCAAAACAAAACTTCTCAAGAAGTCAGTCCGAACTTAAAGAGGCGATGTAATAGATAAGGCAATATCATTGGTGAGAAAATATATTTTTTGGCAGTATCAAGTTAATGCCTCTGTCTCAAATCAAAATAGCAACTCTCTCAAAAGAGAAATTTTCAGTGGCCACTTGACCCTTAAGTGTTTAATGTAAACATTAATCAACTTGTGAATTCTTTTCACTTGCCTTAAAAATCTGAATGATTTTTGTGAGGTTTCAATTTGCAAATATTTACAACAAATAAAATCTTAGATAAAGAAAGCAACTATCTATTCAACCAGATTCTCCTGACATCAGTAAACTTCTTTTTGTTTCTTTCCATATATCTAAAGTATAATTATAAAACTTTGCTGAAATATGGTGGAAAATTTCAGGTTCTCATCTGCAATCAAGAAAATGAGATTAAAGCAAATGAGCTACAATATATGAAAAAAAAAAAAAAAAAAACAGTTTAAACTAGATACCACTACAAAAAAAAAAAAAAAAGATACCACTACAAAAAAAAGATACCAAAGGTTTAACTTTTTTTAAGCTAATAGATTAAATGTAATATTTCCAATAAGCAAAGTATTTTGCTGTATTTCAAAATTTAATTTAAATTGACTGGAAGGAGGTTTTTTTGTTTTTTTTTATAGTTGTCTTTCATCACAATGTAATTCTCTTTACTAAAAATTTTCCAAAAAGAAAATATACTTTAATAATTTGAGTAATATTAGCTGATTGAAAGTATGATTAATCTGATTTGAAACAAAGATTATTTACTTTAAGTTTAAAATATCATCAAAATGTATTTTGCAGCCTGACAGTAGTTGTGTTGACAGCCTGATGACAGGTTTAACGTGGTTCTACAGAGACTTTATCTGTAAAAGATAATTTAAGAAAATGACGTGATTGCCTTTATTATATAATTTTTAAGTACTCAGTAATTTTTAAAATTTAGGAAAATATTCTCTGTAATCTAATTTTAGGAATTTTCAGAAGGATATGGATCAAGATACTAGTTCGTGAATTTTAACTGGGGCAAGAAATGGCTGGTAAATTTTAATGCCTCCAAAACAAAACTGCTATCTTTTAAACACCATAGAGAACATTTTTACATTCCATCAGCATCGCTGATACTAATCTCCAGCAGAGCAACTCATTGTGCCTTCTTTGTCTCATGTTTTGCACCGACATGAATCAATTGCTAAGTTTGCTGCTAAGAAAGTGGGTTCACTGTGTTGTCCCAGACAATTTTTCTTGTCAGAATCCATCTTTTACGTTTATAAGTCTGCCATTCATTTGTGCATTGAATATTGCTGCCATATTTGGTTTGGTTCTCCTACTATATATCTCAAGATTCTTGACAAAATTCAAAGAATGGTCTATAATGGAATCAGTCTTGAACTGGCACCTAGACTGCAGTCACTTTCTTTCTGCTATGACGTGTCTTCCCTCTGTCTTTTCTAAAAATATTTTCATAGCAATTGTTCTGAGATTACATACTTGGTACTTCAACCACATGAATCTAAGCATATTACTGGAATAGCAACTAGTAACTATCATTCTAATATTGAATTAGCTACATGTAACCATAAGTACTTTTCCAACAGTTTCTTTTCTCACACTTCATGCCTGTGGAAATCACTTTTGGTTTCTAGCTTCCCTGCCACCTTCAATTTTCAAAAATTTAAATGCAACGTCAATCACCATCTTCCATTTTCTTGAATCCTCTTCTTTTATTGTTATTTCTCCTCACTAGTCTTATTCTCTTTCACACCCAACAACCTCTCACATCCTGGTAGTATTATCGCCTTGCTTGGGGTGAGAATGATTAATAAAAAAAAAAAAACTGTTAGGGGACTGTCAGTTCAACTGAGATGTCAATAGGATAATTTTCATTTAATTTTTCATGAAGGCACATTGGAAGCTTATTTCTTATCAAAAGATTTTTTTTTTTAAATAAAATGTTTAAAAGTCTTATAATCAAGAGTGAGATTTGTCAAACATTAAATGAAGATAAATTCTAATGAAGAAAAAAAAATAAACATCTTGTCTCAACTTTGTCAGGAAAACAGAAAATATGACACTTTGATTTAACATTTGTAGTAAACCAAGAAAAAAGGTTTTGCCCAACACTTAAACTCAAATCTGCCTGTATACAAGATGCAACGAGTAAATTACCATCATTTTAGATTTTTTATTTTGTGCATGCATATTGTTTGTTTTTGTCAACTGTACAGTATAGTAGGGGCAATTGGGCACTGTCTGTGTGAAAAAGAGCACCATGATCCAATTCACTGCACCAGAAATTTGGAAACAGTATGCTGTACTGTTTGGCATTCACACCGGAAGCTCCAATATGAACATTTCAGAGTGTTTGGGTGCCAATCTGAGGACAGTACAGAGGATTCGAAGAGAGTTGGATGAGTCTAATGGTGATTAAAAAGATACGGTAGCTTGGAAATCTCGCTTTCATCATTCTGATAAAAGAACTGAATTTGTTGGTTACAAGGAGACCTACATCAAGTGGCTTCAGGACATAGTACTACCCTGGGTCAAGAGGATGGCTGCTGGAAGACCCTCTGTCTGGCAACAGGACTCTGCACCATGCCACACAAGCAGGAGAAGCCAGTCATGGCTGTTAGACAATTTCTGTGACTACATCACCCCTTACATTTGGCTACTTAACTCCCCAGACTGCAAACTATTTGATAATTATGTGTAGGGCACAGTTGAGCAAGAGACCAACAAAACTCCTTGTCACATCAACGATGAACTGAAATAAAGGATTCTGGAAGTATTTACCAACTTCAATAAGGAAACCATCCAAAAGAAATGCAGGAGATTCCATAGTTGTCTGAAGGCCGTGGTTGAAAACAATGGCAATTTTATTGAACACTCTTTAGTATTTCAAGATAATTTTGTTCAATTTTAGTAAATATATCTGTTAAAATAAGATGTCAGTGTTATTTTCATTTTTGCATAATTTAGAGGACAATTTATCCTTCACACACTATATATTAAGAGGGTCTCTTTTTATATTTTATTCTTGAAATGTGCTGACACCCTGTGGAGTATAAGGCCACAGTAAAACTATCTAAGGGAATGCTGCTGCAATTTCAGCAGAAAGTAACTTTTATATAGTGGAGTTGTTAGCTCAATGTGTAACTTGTTTTAATTCAGAATTGTTTTACCTGCAGAACAAAGATGGACTCATACCCAAAAGCATTAGTGTAATGTGAACAGAATTTGAAATCGGCTTGTCAATTCTGTGTTTTTCATCATTAATCTAAACCCCTCTCTTATAACTCATATCTGGATCAGAAGTCCCATAACCCAGTAAGGTAATAGGTGCACGACATATACTGCAGCCGTAACATCTAGGATAAGATAGATGAAGCTCATCCCTTTTCAGGCTGGCTTTGTATTCTGAGTTTTCTTTCTAGACTACCAAGGATAGAGAGCCCAGTTTACCCTGCTATTTAAGTGATAGCTGGAGGAAGGTATATTCATGTCTTTTACAAGTGCATTAGTACAAACTGAACAAAACAGTATTGGCCAGAATTTGAACTCTGCATGCCAATTCCACTTTCTCTGCTGATAACCATTATACAATCTACATATTCACACACTATATAAATATACATGCATATATCTATTCATCTCTTGCTCTCTCTCTCTCTCTATATATATATATATATATATATATATATATATATATATATATATATATATATTTTTTAGTGATTTTCC